ATGCAAATTGTCTCTAAATGAGACATCTCTAACAATAAGATCAATAAAAACTTCCTTCGATCCATATCTATCCAAACAAAAAAAAAAGGAAAAAAATGAGGACATTATATATGTAATATTTACTGTTATTAAGGGTGATGGAAATGAAGTGATTATGATATCAAATGAACTAGATAAAAAGAAACGGTATACAAAGAATTCTAAAACAACTAATTGCATCAACATCTCATTCTACCAAAAATAACCAGCCATGTCACAAGGTTAAGTTGAAAAAGTGTAGGCAAATAAAAAACAAAAGTTAACCAATCAAATTGGAAACATATATTTGATTTTCATGACGCTTACTTTTCATATGACAATATCTTCATTACCTGTATCGCAATTTCTCTTTTATGTAGTTCAAAGTAAATTTCACCAATGTCCCAAAATCTTAGCCCACTATGCATTAGTCTCCAAATTTGAAAATGTAACACTCACCCCTAGAAATCTATGTTAGACTGTGCCCATACATGTTGAAGGGCCCAGCCAGAAAATGACTATATCTATATGAAATTTTGTCAAAATTTCTGTTGAATTTTCAAGCAAGAAGGTTATTTAGTTCAAATAGACAAAACTTTGTAGAATTGAATTTTTACATTGCCTAAACAGTTTGGTTTTTCTATAATATCACAGAAGTCATATTCACAGAGATGCAACGCAGACTTTCACACATCCAATAACTACATTCAATAGATCCATGTTGAAAATTTATCTATGGGTTTAGGAATTATACCTTCTTCTAGACTCGAGAGTTTTGAGTCGTTTGTTACTTGCTTTCCCTTGGGTTCTGAGCACTGGCCACTTCTATTTATGCTCCTCTTCTCCGCAACCAATAATGGGATCTGTACCACAAAAAAGTTTCAAGAGAACAAAACTGGATGAAACAAAGCCACCAATTGGCAATTACAAGACAACGGGAAAAAAAACTAATTAAATAAATAAATCCACAACTTGAAAGCATTTTAGATTCTCAGGTATACATAAATATTCCAGTTAGATTACTATACATAATCTTGCAGGTTGGATTTAACCTAGTCTATTGGATTTAACCTAGTTTGCAGCTTAATTCTCAACATTTATTTCCCTCACCGATGTGGGATACTCAACAAGAAAGACTTTACCAACAACCACAGAATATTGTAGTTCAGCATCAACCCCACACAGTACAACAAGGAAGACTTTACCAACAACATCAACCCCACACGGTACAAAACATTGTAATATCATGGTTGGGCATTGACGAGACATATGGAATTGCTTCCTGATCTCCAATGCCATTCAAACAAGGCGGTCTGGCTGCTCCATAGTAAAAGAAAGCCATCACCTTTAACTACTCATCTCCACTTCAAATTTCTGAACAGACGACATAAAAATGAGTTGAAATTCCGATGGTTTTCTAACATGATATTGGTTGCAAGAGGTCTTTGGATTTGGAATCTCCGTACAATAGTTCTAGAGTAAGTTGGACCTTGAATTACGATGAATCGTTGTACTTTTGTCTTCGATTTGTGACGCAGTATGTGATAAGAAGTGTAAAAACGAAATCAAATAAACATCGAAAAGAGAATTACCAAAAGGAAATCAAGGTAAGCGCTTAACTTTCATAATAATCCTTGTCATTCTCAATCCAGTCATCGATTCGTGAACCAAGAACATAAAAACAAAAAACCACACAGATTTATGCTAACATAACAGAGATGGAAGTATGTGTCCCTTCTGCAAAAGAAACTTGTCGATTTTATGGCCAAGCATGGTTTCTGAGTTCGGATTTGAAAGAAAAGTTGAAATATGAAAACCCCAAATTCTAATCTCAATTTGACCTAAAATTCAAAACCCTAATTTGTTCAAGTGCAGAGGTCTATGATTGAAAATTTCTCAGACCCAAAAACAACAAAATCAAATAAAACTCAGTAATATCACGATCTGCAAAACAAATCGACGAAATAAATCGAAGATTCGAAGTTTACCAAACAACTAGGAGCAGATGAGGGCGAGCAAATGCAGATGAGGAAGGACGAAAAGATGAGGGTGAGGAGGAAGACGATGAGGGAGCAGGGCAAGGAGGGAGCAATGTGCGACGAGCAGGACGAGCGATGTTGAGGTTCTTGGACGAGCGACTCTCTCGCGCTTTTCTCTCTATCAGAAGGGCATACGGGTCTGGCCAAAATTAGGGATCTTCATTAAGAACACCTAGCAAGGTATATAATCTGAGCGAGTCCGACCTAAGCTCATTGAACCTAATCCTTGTCCAGACCAAAAAAGGGACTAGACTAGCAATTAGTCTAGTCCAGTCCAGTCCCCCCTAATCCGGTCATACAAACACACCCTTAGAGTAGAATATTTATCTCCAATTGTTGTATCAAAACAAAAGGATATCGCTTTTATCATCTAACAAAGAATATTAATTGACTAGTTAATAAACTCAATTCAAACAGTAATACTACACTTCCAACCAAAAATAGCAAACGAGGGCCAGCTATCCCTGCTACCATGGGATGATCGTATGGTCTATGCCAATGATGAATCTAAAAAAAAATTATTCAGAAGGTCACACATAAAAGTATAAAATATTTCTTAGACATAAATAACTTTAAAAATTAATCATAATTCTATTAATTATTTATAACTTATAGAACAAAAAAAACCTATACAAATTACAATTATTCACGATCCCATTTGCCACTTAATGCGTCCGCCCTGACCTTAGCATGCATGCATATCAACCTACCTGTTTCATTGCTTTAATGGACAAAAAAATAAAATATTAAAACAGTCCATGATTATATTATATTCCCGCCAACTAAGATATTTTCTATGCCAACCAATCTCATGCATATAATATATATAATTGCGGCTAATTTTGGCTTTCATCGCCCACTTCCAAAGAAGAAAGATAAGGATAAATGGATGCGTTTGTACTTTGGCCACAAAACCTGCAAAGCCCTAGAGTCTTCTCTCCATCGGTCTTCTAAGGATGAGGATTCTCTCTGAATCATTTTTTCAGAGATCTTAGAGATTCTTTTTGTAGGAATCCTAGTCTTCCTAGGGAATTTTACATTACGGTTATTCATCGTATATTGTATAATAAGTTTTCGTTAGGTATTATTTATATTTAATTTTGAATAAATAAATTCAAAACGATTAGGATGTGAGAATCCTTAAGACCCCCACAACTTGAATCTGAATGGGATCCAAAGCTGTCTTCCAGAACAATCTGAAACCGACGTGTCACCGAGAACGGAAAGGAAAGGATCCGATCTCAGGATATGACCCTCTTACGATCAGCTTCTTTACGTTCAATCAGACAATAATCCAGTCAGATTGATGTGCCATAAAGTTTCCGTCCGTTCGAATCTACCACAATATTTTCAAATTCGACTAAATTTTACATTTTTTAAGTTTATTGTATGGTCAATAATTAATTGATGACGGGACAAAGCGGGACCAGGACCTAACTTGATCTTCTTGTGTTCTTTGTGGAATCCTTAGTTGGATTCCTAGAATATAACTCGTTTGTTTCGCTTCATAACAGTTTTATTGGTTTGGCTTCCTACATAAAGTGATATTCAGGATGAAATTTGCCAGCTTACCCGTTAAAACTTGAAAGTGACAACAACTTAATATAATTTGTTGTTTTGGTATTTGCATGCATTTTCTTTGTACATTTCTCTCTCTAGCGTGTAGGGGTGGAAAAAACATCCCGAAAATCCTGAACTGATTCGAAAAAATCTCGATCCCAAACCAAAAATTTCCCAAACCGAAATTCTCAAAATTTTCGAGATGCTATCCTGAACCAATCCTGAAATTTTGGCACGGGATTTGGGATTGGCTTCTCGATATTTTGGGAATCTCATACCGAACCAAAAATATATATTATTAATTATTATATATATATATTTATACATATACATTATATATATATATTAGGGAATTGTTCTTAGCACTTCAAAAATCTCATTTGGCACTTTAAACTTTCTATAATTAGAAAGAAAAATATATTTGTGAAGAGTGTAGAATGAGATTTTTGAAATGTTAATAATAGTTCCCTATATATTATTCTTTTATAATTGATGCTAGTAGTTTCTAATTCATGCTCTACAACCTGGAATGTCCTACACCTTGCATATTTTTCATGTTCTGTTTGATATTCATTTGGATTTTATTATTGCTGCTGTCATGGCTGATGATTTCAGAAGGCTTGATTCTTTTGTCTCTCAACAGATTGCCAAAAGGGTTTAATTAATTTGAATTTTGACTCTGATAAAAATAGTCAGGTATGCCAGTGTTCGATTAAATGGTAGTGTGAATGAAATGACATCCCTAGTTCATGAATGTGTTCTTGAATTATTTGAAGAATAATTCATAATTTCATATTTTAATTTGGGATTCTTGATTTGTCCCGAAATCCCTAAAATATTTTGGGATTCCCGAAAATTTGGTTTGGGATTGGTCTTCAAATTCCCGTCCCGACAAATTTCGGTTTGGGATTCGGGATACTAGTTTCAGTTTAGTATCTCATACCGAACCACCCATACTAGCGTGCATCTCCTTGTCATCCTTCATTTCTCCCAAAATTTGTACTTTTTTATTTAACAAACGATATTATCGACATTAAGGAGAGGGGAGTGAGCTTATCCTCACAATGGGCTAGCAATACTATGGTTCAAATTCATATTTGGCAAGAATCAAACCTAAGACCTCTCACTTACAAATGAAGAGGAATATCACTAGACTGTAGTACTTGCTCTTATATTAATTTTCACAATTTTTGCAATCTGATCCTCGGGATCTTGACATATTGCAAAAATTGTACGCTTTAAGAGAGATATTTGCATTTTTCGTACTCACTGAATCCACCAGTTCCAAATTCCAAATGCAACAAATTTTTGTACCCGTTTTGGTTCTCGCTTGGTAAATCACGCGTACAACGATGAAATTTGCATAAATTTATGCTACAAGGATAATCAAATAGAAAATTAACTAGATTTCAATTCGAAATCCAAATAAAATACAGCTCCATTTTGTATCGTAGAATCCGATTTTCTATCAATTATATGCGTCTCCAAATCTTATCATGGATCGGGAAATTGTTTATCAAGTAAAACACAGTGATTCTGTTTCTTAACCAATGCCTCACACTACAGTGGCTTTCTTTCTCCATAAGTGTCTCACTGCAGCACTTCTCTTTCATCACGAAAAATTCATCTCGCTCCAACTAAAACTTTTCTCTATGTCAACCTTCTTCTTGCATTGCATCATCTGCTGCTTTTTTGCCTTCGGCGTTTACAGTAACAAGTCGTATCGCTGGCTTTCGTCCCTTTTTCTTTGGCGCGGGTTTTGCAGCGTCTGCATTCGCCTATAGGGTTTAAAATTAGCAGTCAGAGATCAAGGGAAGACGTAATAAAATGATGCAAGGGATAAATCCCTGCAAGCAATAGAGTATATTTTGAATGCCAATGGCAATTAGGAGGAGTCAGAGGTACCTTAAAAACACATTTCTGAAAGTTTGTCAAATAGAAACGCAGACGGTCCCATATAAGGGTAAGAAAATTTATTAGAGCGCGGAGAACAAAGTACTCGCAAAACATTATAGTTCTTTAAGAAAAATAAAGCGGGGTTCAAAAATGATAATGAAGCATACCAGTAGGTTCCCAATATCAGATAATGGTTTCTTTCTTGGCCCAAGATCATCATTCAACTCTGCAGGCTTCTGAACTAGAGCATTCTGGAGCAGCATTGCACCCTGGGAAGCCACTGTGCTATCCTTCTCCGCTTCCGTTGCATCTGAACCATTCCAAATGCCATCAGCTGTCTCTGATTGTGGCGACTCATCCAACTTGATTTGGACTGTTAGTTCTCTATTGCTGCACTTAGAGGCTACACAGCCACATGATACGCCACAGCTGCCACCCGTGGATCGACATCTGCATTTCATCGTCTTGCACAAAGAACTCTTACTGCATGAGCAGCACAATGTTGATGCAGTTTTAACTTTTGCAACATTCAAGTTTTCTGATGGAGAGGAGGTGTTGTCGTCCACTAACTTGTAACTGTTACTCCCAACAGAAATGGAATGTTGACTCACAGTCCCCTGATTATCAGATATCATAACTGAAGGTGTGAGAATACAGGAAATCATGGTTTGTATTTCTAATCGGGTCATATAGTTGTATTTCATTAAGAACAATGCAACTAATTCAGTTTTCCTCAAACCACTACATGATTCAAGCTCCAGAACGAAGATGAACTTTAGTTCAAAAATCAACAACACGAAACATGGATCCGCATTTAAGTGCACTAACCTGTGACTTATTTCCAATATCAAGCTCAGCCTTGTTCAGTCTTAGTTGTCCAACCAAACTACTGAGACTAACGAATTGTTCCTTCAGATCTGTTATACCTAAATCCTTCTCCAAGTAGTCAACCTCTTGCTCCTGGCATGTGCACCTTAAGATGGCAGGGGCAAAGGGGCACGTTTCAGAAGCAAAATACATAGGAATAGTTTACAACAACCTTGCAGGAACAGAGTTCAGAAGCAAAACTTCTGACCTCGACTTTTCTTGCTGATGTGCTTCTGCTTCATCCTTAAGGTTTGCAGCTTCCTCAGCCATCCTACAAATCCAAAATGAGAAAGATGACTTTCATAATTTCATTGTTTTGGAAATTTTGTCCCGTGAGAACTCTTAAGCAAATCATTCAAATAAATTCCAACAAGTATTAGAATAAAACACAACAATTACGTAAATCAGTCATGCATACTATATCATGGAACACGTAGTACACCTTAAGAGGTTTGAAGAAAAATTTAACAAAGGAATGCAAAATTTAGTTTTCAAAAACGTCATTTTAGTGATGGATTATTGAACTCCAATTGTTATCTGAGTTATTCTCAACTCTGGTTTGAGAAAGTTTGTTCCCCTATATTAACTTGGGATTACTTTCATCCATGATGTTATCCCGGATATATGTACTTCTCATCTAATATATTTAAATTTCTTAACTTATTATCGATTTATTTCTAGAGTTTTGCATAAAGAAAATAGTTTTGACCATTGGTAAGGTATCAGTCCCTCAAGAATGTAGTACTCAGTAAGTTTTATCTTTCATTGCAGTGGCAAAATTCAATCAAGTAGTATGCCAGATGGATTTACTCGGTGTTTGACACTTGATTAGATGTAGCAGAATTTAAAAGGATCCACCAGTCTAACCCACTTATACCAGATAAGAGAAATTTGGATCAACAATTTCAATGGAAAGATTTATTGTCCTGTGAGTCTAGAATGAAATGCCAATCATGTTCTTTTAGTTAGATTCCTGAAGACTAGAGAGATTCTCTGCAAGCTAATGATTGCATCAAAACATGATATATAGTTCTACAAAATATTGTTAAATCTTTTGTGCCTAAGCTCTCTACAAGCGTACCTTGAAAATATAAGTGAGCAAAATACTGTATGCGATATGCATACATAAGTATACAGTTTCTAGCAGCAGTTTTCATATTTAAAGAGATTATAGAATAAATGGACAAATGATTGCAATCCGAAGACAGAGGTTTCAACAAATCTTTGGGACTCACTCCTCTATTTGACGTTCATACTGAGCACATAGTTCGTGTAATTCTGCCGTTTCTTCAAACTCATGCTCAATACCCTGCACAAGTTGTGTAAATTGTGTCAAGACTCAAGAGTACTGATATGATTGTGTTAGAATGAAGTCCTAAGATACTTTTCATCTTTGAAGATGAAATGAAGGGAATGCCATTTCCAATTCAGAGTACACGTGATACAAATATACAGCAATTAAACTAATGAATCAGTTTACAAGTATACATGAAGGAGCAAACCCACCAAAAACACACACATGCACAGACAAGCACATATTCAACAATTCATTGTTTGGTTATGAAATACCTGAATTGCTGCAATCTTCCCATTTCTAGCACCTACATGATTTGTAAACCAAAATGAGGGGGAAAGCTAACTACTATACAAATTCAACATAAATGTAAGCCAACTCTCAAGGTTTCTGTTCTGACCATCTTTTTTGTGTGACAAAGCCTTGCGAGATTCTAACAGTTGTCTGAGCCGTTTAGTGGCCATGAATGCTTCCATATTCTTCCGATGCAAAACCTGAAGCAGAAAGACCAACACTAAGAGAATTGATTCTACACAATTTGTAACTACTGGATAGGTTCCATCAAGCTGTTCATCTATAGGATCTTATATAAAACAAATACAAATTTACCGTCTTTAGTCTTTGGTTGGAGTCCAATAGCTTAAGCATCCCATGTTTATTCTTCCTACTCTCTTTTTTGAGCTGTTGATGCATAACGATATCCAAAAGGATTTCAAATACCTTGATATAATATAAGTTCCGGATAAACTATTCAACACTTTTCCACACATACTAAGCAGACTTAGCTAGTAGATACACACACACACACACACACACACACACACATATATAGATCAAAAGATATAGTGCCAAAAATGTTTTATCTCAAATGTGCTAAGTTAATACGTTAGGGAGAAACATGTACCTGAAGAACTTCTTTTTCCAGTGAAGCCTTTTGCAATCTGAACTGCACAGACTCTAACTTCATTTTACATTGCAGTTGAACCTAAACAGCACAAAATTCGCTAATATTGAAAACACAAAATTTAACAAAATTCATGCAATAAAGCCTCGTAGTAACTAACAAAATGTCACCTTCTGAGCCTTCAACCTCTGAATCTCGAAATGCAACTGTTTTGTGGGCTCATCACCCCTTCTTCTTAGGACAGAGAGTTGAGATTGAGCATCTAGCTTCTTCGTCAACACCGCAACCTGCGAAAATGAAATTATAGATATAGAACATGCAAAACCATTATTGAACACCTCGTCACAACTCCGAGCATAAAATCCACCTGATCCTCAAGGAAAGTCAGCTTTTGAATGTATTCCCCTCTGAGCTTCTGAGCACTGCTCTCACAAGAAGTGGATGAACCATTTGCAAGCTTGAATCTCAGCTCCTCAACCTCCTTCTGCCAATCGAAACCAGAAATCAAAATTAATAGATTTTCGTACATTATAAACTGAACAAATCAGAATCTAAACAAAAATTGGTTGCCAGATCGATTCAATTACATATATTCACTTTGCAAAATGCAATTCAAACGAACAAACTCAAATCTAGGATTCCAATTTTCTTTTCTTTTCACAAACATTTCTCGGCAACCAAGCAGGCTCCCTTAAAATCACAACAAAACAAATATAGGAAACAAAAATAGAGTGAAGGAGCGACCTGATACGCTTGATTTTCAAGCTCCAATTGTTGAAATTTCTTCTCGTAATCATCGGTGGTGGATGCGTCGACGGTTTGCTTTGCGCGGCGGTTGCCTTTCTTCATCTTATGGCTTCAACTATCCGATCAATTTGCCGGAAAATTGGGAAATTTGAAACCCTAATCGGCGAGTCCGAGTGTGGGTAAGGATCGGATCCGAAGGCAGCAGTGGAGTAAAAGTGTTAATGTGCGCTGAAGAAGAAGAGGAGGGACGGACGAGGACCCACCAATATACCCTGTAATAATTAAAAAAATAAAAGAGGGAAACCTCTCATTCAAATCTGCCACGTGTGAGTTAAGTGAACGTTGACTCATCATTATTTTTTTTTAAACTCAAAAATTCAAATTAAAAAAAAAATTGAAATGCGATATGTTAATTCGTGAGCAAGTCGTGTCGTGTCATTTTTTTAATTTAAACTTACCATTAACAAAATATTCTTTTGTTAAAATATATATATATATATATATTCTGAAAATTAAAAAAACGTAAAAAAATTGAATTAATTTTGTCAATAAAACTAAAGAAAAATAATCAAGACAAAAGTTATGGGCAATGTAACAAACAAAATTTACCTTTTTTTTTCAAATGCTCAAGGCCAGTTAACTATATCACTTGCCTCCATTTTCTCTTTCACATTTTTCACCCAAATAAAATAAACTTTAGTGACGAAATAGTTATTCAAAAACAGTTGCTAAAGATATGAAGTTGTGAACAACCTATTCAGTTACGAAAAATCGTTTGAAGATCGTTACCAAAATCTTTAGCAACCATTTTATATCTCTCTTTGTAAATTCTATTTTCAAAATTTTAATAAGTACATGCATAACGTGTGTACAGTTGTTAATTTTTAGAATGTCCAGCCCTAAACTAGTATCTTATCCAAAAAGTAAATAAAGTTTTCAATTCATGCAAGTCAAACTTTAAAAGATTGCTAATTTGTGTTACCAAACCACCCTAATTTTGGTATTGGGCTGAGAAGCTTTACAATGTTCAATGATGCCCTATTAGCTAAGCAGTGCTGGAGGCTGATTGTGGAGCCAAACTCCCTGTGGGCGTCAGTGCTTAAGGCCAGGTACTTCCCGAATTGCTCTTTCCTTGAGGCTAAGCGGGGTGGTAGAGCATCGTGGATTTGGTCTAGTCTACTTGCTGGAAGGGAGATCCTTCGCAATGGTGCTCACTGGCAAATTATGAATGGTAATGATACTCGGGTATGGGTGGATTGGTGGCTCCCATCTCTTCCCTTAGGGAGACCTATCCCTCTGGGTCCGGTGCAGGTTTCTAAAAACTTGAAAGTCAAATCTTTAATTTGCCAGGAGAGTGGGGAATGGGACATTGATTTTCTGAAGCCTTTCCTTGTGGATGTGGAGTTAGCGGCGATATTGGAGACTATACCGGGAGACCCGTTGCTGAAGGATAGGCTGATTTGGCCCTATGAGAGAAGGGGCTCCTATTCAGTAAAATCGGGTTACTATTGGTGCTTGACCCGGAGCAGGGGGAGGATCCCTCCGCCCAGTTTAGCCACAAACTGCCCCAAAACGCTATGGAAAATCATATGGAAGCTGGAGACACCACCGAAAATCCGAAATTTCTTGTGGAGAACTATGCACGGGGCAATTGCCACAATGGCGAATTTATACCAACGTCGTTCTTCTCCTTCTCCTCTGTGCCCCATTTGTAAAGCATATGATGAATCAGTTGAGCACATGCTTCTTAAATGTCCTTGGGTGGAAGGGATCTGGTTCGGGGGTATGCTGAGTATCAGAGCACATAGGCAGCAGGCCTCAAACTGGGCAAATTGGCTTCTCCTGATGATGGAGTCGGCTAATGGGTTAAGGGAGGTTCGGATTATGCTTTTATCTTATATTGCCTTTACTTGTTGGCATATTTGGAAAGCCAGATGCGAATTTCTGTTCAATAATCTGAATCTTAACCCAAGGCGGGTTTTGGATGCTATCTCTCTCTCTGTATCAGTTTATAAAGACTCAATTCCTACAACGGGGACAAATCTGGTGCACAGTTCAAGAAACGGGAATGGGACGCTGCCCAGTCCAAGAATTGGGGAAGTGGAAGTCCGCTGGGCGCCGCCGAACCCGGGTACTATAAAAATCAACGTTGATGCAAGTTGGGTAGCAAGTTCGGGGATAGGTTACACTGGGGTGGTGGCAAGAAACAGCGAGGGTGGTTTCATGGCGGCTTGCAGGTATCGCATAAGGGCTAATAGTGTTGCTATGGCTGAGGCTTTGGCAATTTTACATGGGTGTGAGCTAGGAGCTACTAAGGGCTGGGATTCTATTATGGTGGAATCTGACTCTCTTGAATCAATTTCCTGCCTTAGAGATCTGGCAAGGAAGGGCAGTTGGGAGGCTTTTCCCATTCTAAGGAAATGCTCTAGAATGGAATCAGGTTTCCAAGATTGCCGCTGGTCTTGGATCCCAAGACTGGCCAACTTGGCTGCGGACCTTTTGGCGTCGCGGAAGTGTAGGAAAGAATGTGACTTCGTTTGGGTTGACAGACCCCCATCTTCTCTGATTCATGTTCTGTGTAATGATGGGCTTCCTTGTCCCCCTTGATTTGTGGTTTTGGTTGTGTGTGAAGGGACGCTCTAGCTTTAGTAGCGGCGTCATGGTTCCTGCCTACCTTTTCGCACCACTCTTCTGTGTAGAATTAATTGTGTTTGTTTGCCTCTTTGTAGGCTTTCTTGTATCTTTCTGGCATCTTTGCCCGGGTAGTGAATCTCCTGATTTCCAAAAAAAAAAAAAAAAAAAACCACCCTAATTTTTTATTTTTTTTTGGTAAATCGACAAAATTTGTGAGAGTAATGTCCTCCCTCTTCTACACCAAGTTGAAATTTCTCTCGAAAGTTAGATAAATGTAATTTGAATTATGTTGTCCGGGAGAAAACTATAAACTTCATGAAACCCATGATTTTCTTTGAGGAGTATTATTGACACTCCAAAAATCTCATTCTATACTTCTTACAAGTTTATTTTTCTTTCCTAATATAAAAAGTTTGGAGTATGGAATGAGATTTTTGGAGTGCTCATAACAATTCCCTTTTCTTTTTCATTATTTTAATTAAAATAATTAAGGAAAAGTGGTGTATAATTTCATTAGAAACTTTTTATTTTCAACATTAATGTAAAACAAGCAAGAGTTATAGAGAATGATTGTCTAGAGATTAGAGCAGTATGTTCTCCCGCTTGCAATTTTGATGCTCACACCATTAAAAAAACTTTCATTATTTTTTTTAGTACAACGATATATTTTATACTAAGGGGAAGGGGTAGTTCAGTTATGCCATATTATAGACAACCTAATTTAGTACCAAATTCATCATCCACGATACGCAAACCTAAGACCTCTCACTCACAAGTGAAGGAGAATACCACCAGACCGTAGTACTGAATAGCAAAAACTTCTATTATTTGAATATTGCATTTTTGGGTGCTATATTATGAGCTTGTTTGGAAGAGTTTGTAAAATAAGTAAAAACGCTTTTTGCGGAAATGTTTTTTAAACCAATCTTTTAAAATCCAAGATCCTGGAAAAAGTACTTAATGTTTCCTACAATAAACACACATATATATATAGTGCTTCTTTCAAAAAAAACACTTAAAGTCCTTTTGGAAACCAAAATCATTTTCAGTAAAAGCACTTTCAATCATTTTAAAAGCACTTCCAAATCAGCCGTATATGTTTTCATTAATTACTTCCCCCAGATGATTAGTCCTCTGCACAGTTCCGTGCCTGATTTAATGGAAAACCATGTTAATCTCATTGGTGTGCTCTGAGTGTATCTACAAAATGCCATTAAAAATGGTGGATAGAGAACTAACAATATCAACACTCCTGAGTCCTGAGCAACACCGTCTAAGCAACAGAGCCAACAAAGGCCAAACCACCTACATCTCTCTCTTCTATCTTCAACAATCAAACACAAATCAGGGCTCCAGATCGATAAATCCTCATGGGCGGCCACCTCAAATCCTACATCGCTACGACGACCTGCTTCAAACTTCTGGTATAAGACAATGCCAATGAGAGAGAGGCAACCAAGTTCAAAGGTGGTTTTCCTTCTCATCTGTTGTTCTCTTCTGCCGGAGAGGACTTGTTGGTGCCGCAGGAATTCCAGCTTCCTTGTTGGCGCCCGATTGTTCAGGTTTTTCGGCATTCCTTTCTCTAAATGGGTTGCCAACGTTTGATGCAGCAACTGATCGCATGGCCCTTGGTAGCTTCATAGGGATGCTTGCCTCATGTCCTTTGTTATCTGGCCTTCGAGGTGCTTCAGCAACTTCTGGCTGCGGGGGAGGCGGAGCATTTGTAACAAGTTGAATTGTGGATTTTCGCCACTTCTTTCTCTGGTTAGGCTTTGGTGCGTTGGATTTGACCTTCAGTTGATAAAACCATCAAAATGTAAGCCAAAATAAGTCTGAGAATTGTGAAATAATTAAATTCTAACCCCTAAAGACTTTGCACAGATGATAAGGGAAGAGTGAAAAGCAATTCGATTAGACAATCCCTCTAAATAAGTCTATCAGGCGAGACTAAAGTATACCAACGTATTTCCAATTTCGGAAAGAGCCTTCCTTCTTAGTTCACCATCATCAGTTGTCTCGCTAGAGTTATCAGCTAATGCATTCTGAAGCAACCTTGCACCATGAGTAACAAGAATCTGATTCTTCTCTTCTTCATCAGTCCCTATCTCGTTTCTAATCACTTCAGACACCTCCGCGTGTGCAGATTCTTGCGCCACAAGTGAAGCTGATTCTCTATTTGAACACTTTGCAGCCGCGCAGCCACATGATGACCCACAAGTGCCTCTGGAAGACCGGCATTCGCATTTGCTAGTTTTGCATGAGGAGCTTTTGCTGCAAGAGCAGCATACGCCTGATTCACTTTTCTTCACAGACACAATCCCCTCACCTGAAGCATCTAATTTGAAGCCTCCAACATTCTTAATTTCTGACTCATTATATCCTCCCCCACTTGAACTTCCACTTTTGGATTTTCTCTTTTTAGATGGTCGTTTTCCTGACATCACCCAGTCGCCATCCTCCGCTTCAGATTTTTCTGAATCAGACGTATCCATATCCTCCCAGATAAACGATGCCCGGTTTTCCTTGATTCACAAAACACATCAGTCATATAAAGATTAACAATTATAAGTCAATTGTAATCAGGAAATAGCAACAAGTATTTTAAAACAAAACAATAAAGAAAACATAGTATCAACCAGCATGAGGAACTTGCAAAAGAGAATGTCACCCTCACTTACCAGTTTGCGCAAATCATACTTGTGTCCACCATTGTTTAGGTCCGCATCCTTGGAACAGTTCATGGCAAATTTCTTCAAGGCTGCATTCTGTTGCAAGCAAAGAATAATCAGATTAAAATATAAAAGAAAAATGAAGACTCTAAAAGCTAGAAATCAGAAACATTATTCAGTAAAGCAAATCTGTCCATAAAATTTAAGAAATTAGAAAGAAAGGAGACCACTACTCAAGGATGAATACCAGGAGTCAGTCGAATAACGACAGGAAGATAGAATATCATGGTTTCACACTGGCAACAACATAATCTAATCTAAGACTTTACCTGATGAACAAGTTCAGACCTCTGCATCTCTGATTTTCTAAGGAAACGACTCAAGCTTACAACTTTTTCCTTCAAATCTCTTATTTCCAAATCCCTCTCTCTGTATGCAACTTCTTTATCTCGCAACAAGCACCTTGAAAGTCAAGGAAACATTTCTTTTTTTCAGCGGCATTCCAAAGTAACTATTGAAGGTAAAATCAATTACGCTGACATGCACACACTAGAGGTTTTTCTTTCAAACATAAATTAGAAGAAATATTTCTATTCCAGGAAAATCTTTGACCTGAGTATAACCTATTACCTGGAGGAAGAAGCTAAATTGAACAAATGATTCATCACATTTTTTGCATCAGCAAGAGACCGAACTTGGTTCCAGCGTGCCCTCCCAGTAAAACCCCGCTCGCGCTCTTCTGCTTCTGATAATTGTGATGCCATAGAAACCAGGGTGCTAGATGAAGTAGCAAGCATGTTTTCAAGTGCATAAATCCTCGAATTTCTTGCACCAGGAGACATAGATTCAGGGTAATCGCTACAATTGGCACAATTCAAAAGAGAGTTATGTATGTCAAGTTAGCACAAAAAAATAAAGAAAATTTGTTCAAATAGAATATTCATCTGCAAAAAAAGCTCACCTGAAATTAGTTCGTTTTAACATTTCTGCTTCTTCTTTTAGCTTTGCAACCTCCTTGGCCATCCTAGCCCGCCTGAAATTCCAAGAGTTAGTGAAACTGATTCTGCAGAATTGTGACTGAGATAGAATCTCTACACAATCTAACAAACAGGTACAAAAGAATTCAAGGGAAAAAACAGCCAGCATATGATTCTTGGCACAACTAAATACAACATTTCAACTTAATATTAGGCATGGCATCCTTTTCAAGTTAGTCAACTCTATGAATCTCATAGACCATATAAGTAGATTTATAAAGTAGTCTACTAGAATGGAAAGACTTACTCTTCCATTTGACGCTCATACTCAGAACGTACTTCATGCACCCGAACTGTGACTTCAAGCTCATGTTCAATTGCCTGCATCAAAGCCTGTATACAGAAAAATTACATACAGGATAAATACATACCAGTACATAAACAGATAAACTAAGAAGTTACAAGCTGTGAAATGGACTGAAAAGCAAATTTTAACCCTCTCACAAGCCTTGCAGTTTCCACATTATAAGAACACAGGAAAATTCTTCTCTAAATAGCATAGTAAAAATTTCAAAGCAACTGAAGCTGAAGTTTCATTATCAAGCGACATGAAACACATGGGCCTCGTCCAATATGGCATAGATGATGTGACACTATCAATTTGTGTACAGATCTACAACATTATCCATCTCCATATCATGCAAACAAAAAAATCCTTCTGATAAATGACTCTTTTCTTTCTCATTAGATACTTAATAGAGTGACAAGTACCTGAACTCCAGGACCATGTCCACTGCCAGCTCCTGCATAGAGTTGTAATAAATTGTTAATACATTATAATGACAAGAAAATAGAAACAAATAAGGTACATTGCATGACCAAAAGTTTCACGTGAAGAAGTCTTTCGCGATTCTAAAAGCTCTTTTAGCCTTTTTGTGGCCATAGAAGCTTCTTCTGTCTTCCGTTGCAAAACCTGACATTACGTGTAGAAAAGAGTGAATATCTTTCTATAAATGAAGGAAGCACATCCTAGCAAGCATTTTCTTACCATTTTTTGCCTCTGATTCAAAGCTAATAGTTTATGCATTTCATACTCATTCCTCCTCCCCTCTTTCTTAAGCTGATAATTGGCAAGAAACAAAAAGGAAGATTTCGTTAACTCTCCAGTTTCAAAATAGATGGTGAAGATAAAACAGAAGACGTCATAGTCATGCAGTAAACTACACTAAAGACTATACATAGCATCTTATAATTGTTAACACAAAAAAGGAACACATGTTTTTTTTTTTTGGTCCGAAAAAAGAGAATTCATGTTATTCATCAGAAAGGGTAGATTTCTGCCAACCCAAAATATATGAAAATGAATAAATAACACTTCAAAAGATAAAATGAACTTTAGATAATTTATAAATTTATCTAAAATGTGATTTCTAGATCACGGTTGCCTTCGAAAATCAAATAATAATAAAATGTGTTTTCCATATCATGATCTGTAAACAGTATTCTACAAAGCACCATCACTGACACACTTGCAGATTCCAAGATCATTCACATGATGAGCATATGACCAGCATGATTTGGCTATACACCACCAGAAGTCAGATAGATGCAAGCTATTTAAAAATTTTATATACCTGAAGAACTTCTTTTTCTCGTGATGTTTTCCATAATCTAAACTGCTCAGACTCTTGTTTGATCTTGTGTTGCAGTTGAACCTAAGAAATAAAAGATTGCATTTAATATTGAAAACAAAACGTTACTAGTATCTTTTTGCATCAATAGGCACATTCTTAGCAAATAGCACCTTTTGAGTCTTTATTCTCTGTATTTCATCCTGAAGTCGCTTTGCAGCCTCATCACTTTTTTGTTTTTGTCTCAAGAGTTGAGCTTGAGCATCTTGCTTCTTTTTGAGCTCAGAAACCTGCAAAGCAAAATTCAGCCCGGCTGCCCAAGACATGAAATTTCCATCAAAAGGTTAAGGCATTTGAACTCACCTGCCCTTCAAGGACATTCAACTTGTGTAGATAATCTTCTTTCAACTTTTGAGCACCATCATCAGAAGTAGATGATATATTTGAAAGATTGTGTCTCAACTCCTCAATCTCTTTCTGCAGAACCAGAATAGGCAGAATTTATAAGCCAGACCTTTGAACAGACCACAAGTATTGCAGAAAGAAAACAAACCTGCAGTGTTTTCTTTTCATGCTCTAACTCCTGAACTTTCTTCTCATAATGTAGTTTAAGAACCGAGGTATCAGAAGTAGTAAACCGCTTCATTTCAGCCTTGAACAAGTCAAAAGTAACCCAATTAGAATAAAATAAAGCAAAATGATGAAACACCCACACCAATAGAAAACAAACAAGCATAACTTAGACAATAGTAGGATGTAAAGAAATACTCTTGAAAGTTAAGTAGACTTCTTTAAGAAAAAACAGTTGGCAACAGTTAGCATGTCATTCAAAATAATATTGAGTGAAAGGTTTCTTCAACTTTATGGATCCTCAAAAATCTATTTCAAAGAAGTAATCCAAAAGGAAAGGATGGAAGCTCAACAATAAATCGCTTTAACATCTCAAATGATTGAAGTTATCCAACTGAAATAGCGCAACAAAGATAATTCTAACACTTTAATCAAAACTTAAGAAACCTTACCTCCTTCTGTTCAAGAGCTTTGTCCAATTCTTTGAGCTCCCTGTCAAATTTTTCTTGAAGAGAAGAAAATTCTTGCTCCTTTTGCTCCTTTTCGTGATCTTCAATCTCGTCAACTAGTAAATTATATGGAAACATAAAAATTTTATTAGGATAATAACAATGGAACAAGTATAGAGAACACTAAAACAACAGCTAACCTACCAGCTGCTAAAACATAACAAAAAGCCAAACATAACAAAAATATAACAATACAACACAGCTATATAACATGAAACATTAAAAGAAGCTTACAATTGGCATGAATGAGAAACAAGGGGATATCAAGAAAATCGAAGCACACAATGATGCCATGTATGAAACTCAATCCCACAAGCCCTTTGTTTCCTTCCCCATAGAATCCTCAAAAATCCTCTTACTTGGTATAAATTGTCTCACATTACATAGACATTACTAGTTTCAATTACAGGAACCCAAAATTATTTGTCCATCCAACCCACAAGCAATCCACAGCTTGAAATACATGCCAGCAAAGAAGACAAATTTTTTCTTTATACACTGAGAACAAAAAAACATACGAATAAAAAATGAAAAACTGACAAATAGTTGTAAATGAAACAGTACTCATGAACAAAGCTTGGTGTTAGATGAACTTAGAATGTACAACCAAATCAAACAAGTATAAAAAAAGGTCGTACCCAGTGCACAAGGCTCCCGCTTTAAGCAGGGTCTGGGAGAGGTGAATGTCGGCTAACCTTACCCCCATTTATGGAGAGGCTGCTCCCAAGTCTCGAACCCGAGACCTACCGCTTATGGGCGAAGGCACTTGCCATGATAATCAAAAATAAAAAGGCAAAAGATAAAGATTTTTTTTCTACCTGAAATATCCCCAGCTTTAGTATCATAATCAGATGAATATTCATTGATAGAGGGGAATAATATATTCTTAGAGCGAAAGCTGTCATCATCTGACTCAGCACACTCAACAAGTCTCTTGTGCTTTGAGTTGTTTGATTTTTTCAAGCACAATAATTCCCCTTCTAACTCCTGAATTTTTGACACATAACCTTTTAGCAAGTCATAATCCTGCAAAGAGTTTAAAAGCCATGTCAGAGTTCCGATTCTTGATTATTGAGGAGAAAAAAAATTGTGCAACATGAAAAAGAAAACGAATGCCTATACAAAAAGAAAAAACAAATGCATACTACCAAGTAATGAAAGATAAAATTCAAAAAACAAAAAAAATCACTATATACCAACCTGAACTGAATTCGAGTCAATCTCATCCCAAGGTTTACCACTTCGTGCTGATTCAATTATCATGGCCAGTTTATCTTTTTCAACCTAAAATATTGAATATTAGTGAAACCCCATACGAGATTGAACAATGACATAACTTTATAACTATTTATAGAAACCTGAGCCTCAAAAGCACGTTGCTTTAGATGTTCACATGAAACTCGACGTTCTTGAAGCTCGTGACGCAATTCCACATTGCTTTCTTCGAGTAACGATACTTTGTGCTTCAGGATCTAAAAAAGTTGAAGGTCAATGAAAAGTTTGAAAGCAATAAACACATAATCTCACTGAGAAAGAGCGATTGTTATTGCCACTTGTCAATCGTATACCTGAAGTTCCTCATATGGTGCACTAGCATCGCCACGATAAAATAAAAGTTCAGTCTGTAACTGTTCAATCTGGCTTCTCATTGTTTGCAACTGAGCTGCCATGGGATCACGATTGACCTACACAATCAAGAACAAAAGAGAAGATCAGTAGAAGACAAAAAGCAAAAAACCTTAACTAAATCATATTATTGCACAAAAACTTACAACTGCCTTATTCTGGATGTTGCGAGCACGATTAGCATATTTCAAAGTATTCAACGTCTCTTCAGCATTTGTGTCAGCTGGACTAACACAAGCTAGGTAAAGACAATAATTTTAGCAAAATTAGTATTGGATAATTTGAAATGACTATCTTAAATGAAGCTTTACTCTAACAAGAAAAATCAGCATACCAATCATCACTGTCTTACTATTTCCTCCGAGTGAATCCTAAAAATGCACATTGTGAAGATTAGTCAGAAACAGAACTATGGCATCTTTCCTTTTATTTATTTACAATGAGTGAAGACTTCGATTTGGAAAATAACCAATTATATTTTTTTTAAATCAAATTAAATTATATTATTATGTACATTAACACATCAAGAGATCAGGAGTCAAATGCTAGATAAATTATGCTAAATAAATTACGTGGTCAAAGGGAATTAAAATTCTTCAGTCTTCTTTGCGTTGCTACTTTTTTCTCCTTATCTAAATTAAACATGATGATAAATACATCTGAACATAAATGTATTGAAGACAGAAAATATGTCTCTAATTTACAAGCTGTCATAACATGTATCAAAAGAATTCAAAGGAAATTAAGTGATTTGCATGCCTGTAACAAACGTGTTAATTTGCTATCACGATATGGAACATGGCCGCCTTCTTTCCGCTTCTTTTCATCTCCCAAGGCACTTATCACATTGCCAAGAGCAAGTAAACCCTTGTTGATATGAATGCCTAATACAAGGTAAAATATATAAGTAGTAGCCAATTCAAACTAAATGGGAAAAAAACAATCAAAGGATAATTTGTATCTCATTTATTTGAGGACAGTGCGTAAAGCGGGAGCCTTGTGCACTGGGTACGACCTTTTTTTTTTATTTGAGGACAGTGACGTAAGGCTAATGCAGTTAAAGCAATAAATAAAAATGTTATTTTCATACAACCCTATGAGAAAGATTCCATATAAAGTACATCGTAATTACCTTCTTTCAACCGCATTCCGTCAGCACCTGTCCGTTTTGCCCGCTCAGACCCTGCTAAATCCACTAAATGGAGCTTGGCGCATAAGATATCATCACCAATATCATCATTATTTGCTCCATTCAGAGAGTGAGCTATCCTCTTCTGCTCCATAGTTATTGTAAATATTGCATGTGAACGGCTGCAATGTGAGAAGAAGAAAATATAAAGGATAATATGTTAGTTCATCCGGTATGAATTCAGCCTTAAAGTAAGAACAACTAAATTGTAATATAATTATGCTACTACAAAATCAAATCATAACTAAAACAGATATAGAGTTCAAAACACCCTGAAAAGAAAGTATCTTTATTCAGAAAAAAAAAATTACACATATTACTTACTATAAAACCATCTAATCCCAACTAATAGAAAGCGCAGGCATCGCACCTTGACTGGCTGTTCATATTGGTGCTCCCAGTAGCACGAGATAATGATCCACGAGTGAGATATGATGCCATCTCTTCTTTTGTTCTAACCTCTGCCTCAGTGACACCAGCAAGAGTTATCCCTCCATTCACTGTTTCTCTAATTTGTATAGGCACTCTTGCTGGGACAGGCTTTGCAGGTGCTGCCCCTTCGTTTTTGTGGAGTGATGATGAATTTGGGTCAAGCAAATCAAATACTTCCTCCTTAAATATCTGCCATAATACACATTCAATATCAACATATAACTTAATAATTTAAAGAGATATACTATTAAGGCTTTTTAGGCAAAATGGTCCTTGAAATTTGAAATCAATAGAAGTGGTCCCTAAGTTTGTCACCAGCAATCATTTTAGTCCTTCCATGAAAAATTATACTAAATAAGGATCAAAATAACAAAAATGCCCTCAATTTAATAAACAATGGGCCAAATGATTTGACAAAAATTGAGGGTATTTTTGTCATTTTAGCCTTATTTAATGGAAATTTTCATGGAATGACCAAAACGATTGCTGGTGGACAAACTCATGGACTATTTTATTGATTTCAAATCTTAGGGACCAAAGTGAGGAGTTGTGCAAATCTTAGGGACTATTTTGGCTAAACATCCTACTCTTCATCAACTAATGGGAATCTTCATACCTCAATAAATGATACCCTGATCAAAAACTCCGTGTTATCTTTCGTTGTCTCCACTTTCTTAAATATACTTTCCATCACTTTGGGTACTATTCCACCATTACTTCCTTCTCCAGTATAGTTAGTCCCCATTGTATATGTCTTACCGGAACCCGTCTGCAATATTAAACGAATTCAATGTGGCTACTTTGTTTTAACTCAAACATGAAGTAAAACAAACCCAACAACAGTTTTCATAAACATTATACCTGTCCATAAGCGAGTACAGTCGCATTGTATCCATGGAAAAGGGCATCAACAAGCGGAGCAACACAATCGTCATACACCGCATTGGAAGGAAGTCCGGAGCTACCATACACATAATCATATGTGAATGAATGTGTCCCAATTTGCACCTGTTCACATATCCCAATCATAAATCATTCGTTACAAACACATTCATATTTCAATTATCAAAAAAAATTGAACATGCATTACACATATATTATCTTACACTTCAAAAATCAAGTAAAAGTAACAGTAAGCAGCTAAATAGACACATTTGACATTCGAAAAACCAAGAACCAAAAGTTTAACCTAAAAAATTGAGAAGAAATTACCTGGGGTTCACCGGGAACGACGGAAATGCAATCTGTGCAGCCTACCAGAAGCTCGGAGGTAATCAAGGGCCTCACATTGACAGCCACTTGAACACATTCCGAACTATCCATCTCGACCTAATGCGAAAACCCCTCGATCCCAAATCAAAATATCCTAAATCCTCCGCCACGCCTCCAGATTGAAAAATCGAATCCCTAATCACAATCAAACACCACCGCATTAAAAATCATCAAACAAAAATCAACAGAAGATAAAAAAAATCCGATACGAATTGAGATTGATAGCAATAGAAAAGAGGAAGGGGAGATGAAAACGGATCTGGGAGTAGCTTTACCTGAAGGAGGCGGACGAAAAGTGGGATTTGCTTCCTTCCTGCCTTCCAATCTCGTTCGTTTTTGGTTTTTGAATGCGTTGTGCGGTGGGAGGGGAGAGAGAGAGAGAGAGAGAGAGAGAGAGAGAGAGAGAGAGAGAGAGAGAGAGAGAGAGAGGAAATTTTGAAAGCGGGCGATTGGGGTTGAATTAAAGCGGGTTTTAGAGAAGGCGGACAAGTAGGAATTCAAAAACTATCGGGGGTCACGTGACCAGCGCGTGAGGTAGCGAACGGTAACTATTATCATTAGCGGGGTTTAAATGGAAGTGATCCGGGACAGGCTGGCCCACTGTAACGGGTGGTGGCGGGGGAAAGGGTGTGTGCGGGTTTGAGTTGGGCCAACCGCTCTTCTTTGCTTCAAGTCAACTTTTGAGTTTTGATGGACACCCCAACAATTAGTTTAATTTTTAATCTGGAGTATTTCAGATTAAATCAAACAGTTGTATCTATTTGAATTTGAATCACACGGCTGTGTTTGCTGTGAAAAAGCATTCGGTTGCCTGTCTATCTATCTGAACGGCCTACACTATTTCACGTCAATTTTGCAATTTTATTCGGGTAATTAACATTACAAAATTCTCTTACGTTTGAGATTTTACACTAATACTTTCTTTAATTTCAATTTACTTACATATAACCCCTTAGTCAAAATTCTGCTAATAAATTGACAACTTTATCTTTATAACTAATTATTTAAACAACAACAACAAAATATTAGAAAAAGAAAATATTTTAAAAAATAAATTAAACACTAAAAGAATAAATTCATTAAAAATAACTTTAAACAATAAAAGAATAAATTAAACATTAAAAATAATTATAATATTGAGAACTTCCTCCACACCCACCTTCATTTGGGGATGGGTAACGGTTATGGCAGATGGGTAACCGCGGTTATTTACTCATAACCGTTTATGTTCATACCCGTATAACCATTTACCCGTTGGGTAATTACCTAAACTATTATACTCATACCCATAACTGTTTATAAATGGCTAACCATATCCATAACCGCATACTCATTTAACCGTAACCGTTTAATAACCGTTTACCCATTTACCCTTTTCAACCCATTTATCTTTTTTTTTTTTACCATTACACCTTTCACCCATCTACATGTTTTTTAACAACTTGAAAATTAAAAAAAAATTATAATTTTCATTTTTTTTGACAATTAAACACCATTATAGGTACATTCATCATACATTTTCGTATTTTAATTTTTTTAAGTCATTATACCATTCCAATAATTGAAATAATAGTTTATGGACGATATTTTTAACTGTTACCAATAAAGGTAATATAATATTTGTTTAGTATTCTTGGGTTACGAAAACTGTTTAGAAGACAGTATTCTTAAAGCAATTCCACCCTAAAGACTTTGCGCCAGCACCCAACGATTTATCCACTCAAGTGAACAGTAATATATTTCAGTGAACAGTAATAAACCAAAGCATCTCCACCCCTAAAAATATGCGTTGGCACCCAGTCTAAAAATTCGTTGGCACAAAAGATCTTCATCCCTACAAAATGCGCTAGCACCCAGCCCATTTAAAATATTTTATATTTTTTTAAAAATAATAAATAAATAAATATTTTTATTTTCAAATAAGATTTTTGACCAATTTCGGATAAAATTTCAAATAAACTTAAAAAAAACACACTAAAATAAAATTACATACTCATCAAATAAACTTAAAAAAAAAACACACTAAAATAAAATTACATAAACTCATCAAATAAACTAAAAAAAAACACACACACTAAAATAAAATTACATAAACTCTTCAAATACACTTTATTCTTCAACCACAAGCTTATTTTAATTATCTTCACCTTCTTGCAATCCCCACTGGTGCTCAATCAAGTCATTCTGGCTGGTTACATGCCAATATGGCTCTTGCACATCAGTGTACCGCTGAACAATCAATTCATTGTAATGTCCATCCCGTTCCAACGGCTCGTGTTGCACGGGATCTTCGGTCCGATCATAAGCACAGTAAATACGTGTTCTTGAGTTGTTCATCAGATCCGGCTCATATTCATCGACGGCATCATAAATCATATTCATCTTCCACAATCATGTTGTGGAGAATAATACACATCATCATGATGGATCGAAAAGCCTCGACATCAAACATTCTAGCTGCAGCCCTGACAATTGCCCAACGAGCTTGCAGGATGCCAAAACAACATTCCACATCCTTCCTACACCCCTCTTGACATTTTGCGAAGTGTTTTTCTTTTTCAGTCCGTGGATGTGACACTGTTTTGACAAACGTAGCCCACCTTGGTTAAATACCATCTGCAAGGTAGTATGGTCCGTCGTATTTAGTGTCATTAACCCAATATGTGCATTTCGATGATTTTCCTTGCAGCAGATCCTCGAACACTGGAGATTGAGCAAGGACATTTAGGTCATTATGAGCTCCTGGAACACCAAAAAAAGCATGTCAAATCCATGTATCAAATGAAGTCACCGTTTCCAAAATGATACTTTTGGCTTATTTTCTGTCGCCATGAGCTTCTTGCCATGCACTTGGACAATTTTTCCAAGTCCAGTGCATGCAATCGATGATTCCAATCATGCCAAGGAAGCCTCGCATCTCACCCTTCCTTAGAAGCCTTCGCATGTCTCTTGGCGTGGGTGTCCGGAGGTACTCATTGGTGTACAGGGCTTCAATTGCAAAGCAAAACCGCATCAGAGACTCTAGAACAGTTGTTTTTCCCATCCTCACGATCTTATCCACTTGATCTGCAGATACTCCATATACAAGCATTCACAAGGCAGCCGTAATTTTTTGCTCTGGAAGAAGACCTAGAACACGAAAAGTATCATCTTTTTGCACAAAATATGGATCATGGTTGCAAATAGCACTCATGACTTTGTTGAACAAACTTCATTGCATTCTAAAACGATCTCTAAAAACATGATCAAGGAATACGTTGTTGGGAATAAAATAATCTTCCAAGAGATCTTTACCTCGTCTTTCCCTTTTTCTATCGAAGTTTGCGGCACGTCTGGGTTTGGCTATTTGACCTACAACTTCCATGACACGGTGGGAATGTGAGGCCCTCTGCCTTCTATGGCCATCATCCGATTCCTCCTCCATTGCAAAAGCCTCATCTCCACCTCCACCTTCCTCGAGATTGATCAATTCTTCTTGTTGTGCCAACAATCTTTTCTATTGCTCCACAAATTGTTTATGCACTCTCCTTGAAGAAGACATTGTAAAAGAAAACTCAAGATTTGAAAACGATGAAGATGGATGTAGGAATGTATGGTTTATATGGACAAACAAATTAAGGATGAGCTTTTTGGTAATTTTTTTCAAACAAAAAGTATATGAAAGCTTTGTTAGAAAGTGTAGAAAATATTGAAATGTGGTGTAAGGTGGAAGATGAGGGTTAGGTATTTATAGAAAAAAATAACTTTTTTAAAAATTTTCTATATTTTAAAAAAAAAATTATGTATTTTTTCATAATTTTTCTGTATTTTTTCATAATTTTTAATAAAATTTAATATAGTTAATTATTCTGGACTGTTGAATTTGAAAAATATTCAAATCTAAGAGTCAAGGCGCTGCCACGTGGCCAACGGTCATAATTCTGACCGTTGGGCCTTTTTTATCTTTTTTATTTTTATTTTTTGTGAAAAAAAAAGGACCGTTGATCTGTGATCGGACGATCCATTTTAAAAGTCAACTTTAAATTTTTTTACCGATGGAAATCCAACAGTCTACAAAAACTAGCCGTTGGAAATCCAACGGCATTGAGAGGGCCACGTCGCCTCCTTCCGAGTGAAGCACAAGTGGGCTGACAGCGGGCCCCGCCGCCTGCACCCTTGTCCCCTACTCGCACCCACTCGTGAGTGAGCTGCACGCGCCGGGCAAATAGCCCAGCTCCTTGGTCAGTCAATTTTGGGCTAACCCAGATACCAGCTTGGGCTGGGTGCCAGGCAAGTTGCTGGGCTGGAGTGAATTGACAAGGTGTCAGCCTAGTTTTTTTACTGAGTGCTGGGCTATTCCACCTCCGGTGGAACTACTCTTAGGTTATTTAACTCATAATGTAAAGTATTAACATAATATATATAATTAGCTACATTATATTATAATTAGCTATATAAACCATGCACTATAGTCCATAACATTGATCTAAGTTTTGTCTTATAGAGAAGATTAGGGCTAGTTCAGTATGGGATATCGAACAGAAACTAGTATCCCGAATCCCAAACTGATATTTTTTAAGACGAAAATTTGAAGACCAATCCCAAACCAAATTTTCGGGAATCCCAAATTTCAAGAATCTCAAAATATTTTCAAGATTTCGGGACAAATCGGGAATCCCAAATTAAAATATGAAATTATGAATTGTTCTTCAAATCGGGAATCCCCAGTTCCCCATAATCTTGACTAGAAGTCAGATCTTGAAGGCAAAAGATGAAGCCAATTAATGATAATTCCATCTTTTGCCTTCAAGATCTGACTTCCATCTTATGGGGTGCATCAGTTGATGGCTAATTCCATCTTATTCCTTGGAGAAACACCACCACACCATCCACTCTCGCTAGCTTATATGGCAACGCTTAGCGCATCCTGTTTGCTGGCTTCTTCTGAGAGTTGCAGTAGACGGTGGAAATTGGCAGTCCAAGGTCGAGCTGCACCACGAAGAAGCAGGTGTTGAAATGGGCACGAGATCAGGGTGGCTGCTCCACCAACCCTTGTTCTAATGTTTATTTTTTTTGTGATATTTACTTTTTCTAATAGAATTTTTTATTGTTTAAGAAATTAGTTATAAGGCAAACTTGTCATTTCATTGCCAAAATTTTAACTGAAGGGAGTTATGTGAAAGTGAATCAAAACCTGATGGGGTGTTAGTGTAATGTCTCAAACTTGAAGGAGTTTTGTAAAAACTCGATAAACCTCAGGGGTGTTAGTGTAATTAACTCAACTTTATTCATACAAACTTCCGAGAGACAAACACAAAGAAGTTTGTCAAAATCAAAATTTTGGTGCTTATTTTATCCCTATGCATACTTGAGCAAATTTAGCTCCCTAATCCTTGAAATGATGTTTGTCTTGTTTGTTATGCTGGAGTTGGTTACTTATCAAGCCTACATAAGGCACATTTTCAGACGGTTATGTCTTTACTATTATGGATACCGCAATATCTTGGTGTTATACTTAATAGACCTTACTTGCAATGTTTTAGAATCATGCCAAGCTCATTGCTTTACATAAGTCACACATTGTTAAGGATATCGAAGTACATACGAATTTTCATCCATCATTGTGTCCCAAAAGTTCTTCTTCACTTGCCAGCAAAGCATCAAAAGATTGAAATAAAGCAAATCCATTTTCAACACAACATCGCCGATGTCGATATCTACCTTCCAAAAGCTTACTAAGGTATTGGATTGTGTAAACTCTCTCTGTTGCAACGCTAATAGTTATGAGGAAGAGTTTTGTCAAACTTATGGGGTGTAACCTTACCATAGAAAGAGAAAGTTATTACAAGGTAAGGACAACTCCAAAAGAGAGTCCAAGGCCAAGCAAAACCCCAATTCCATAACAGAAAATTATAATAAAATAGGCCCAAAGTGAGCAGCCCATAGCAGCAAACAAACGAAAAAACCTAGACATGAAAATGTAAAGTAGCCACCTCCACCAAAACAATGAGTAATGATAATTGATAAGCAATCACATGAAATGTTGCCAATTTTCATCATTTGAATAAAATTTGAGAAATGCTAAGGAGACTCTCTGAAAGTGAGACTCTTTATGGACGCTTCGCCATCTAATGTTTTTTGGCGCAAGGTTTCATAATGTTATGATGGGAATTGTGCCAAACACATGAGGTGATGGAAAGTTCATAAAGAGCTTCACTTTTGAGAGTCTTCTTAGCATTTCCCATAAAAATTTGCTAGCATCTGAATAAAAAAATTTGGTTATTTTTTTTTTCAATTGCCTATTCAGATACTTTCTATGTTATTATAATCATGAAGAACCCCATGCTTATTTTATCACTATGCATCCTTGAGCAAATTTAGCTCCCTAATCCTTGAATGATGCTTGTCTTGTTTGTTATGATGAAGTTGACTACTTATCAAACTTGCATAAAGCACATTTTCAAACGGTTATGTCTTTACTATTATGGATACCGCAATATCTTGGTGTTCTATTTAATGGACCATAGCTGCAATGTTTTAGAATCATGGCAAGCTCATTGCTTTACACAAGTCACACATTGTTAAGGATATCGAAGCACATACGGATTTTCATCCATCATTGTGTCCCAAAAGTTCTTCTTTACTTGCCAGCAAAGCAACGAAATATTGAAATAAAGCATATCCGTTTTCAAGACAACATCGCCGATCTCTACACAATGTCGGTGTTGATATCTACCTTCCAAAAGCTTACTAAGGTATTGAATTGTGTTAACTCTCTCTTTTGCAACACTAATAGTTCTGAGGAAAAGTTTTATCGAACTAATGGAGTGTATCCTGAAGTATACTAAGTTGATCTAACTTGTTCTTTTTCCATTAGATTAGTAGCATTTTCTCATTGGATTTTTGCTACCTGTCAAGGTTTTGATTAAGCACCCACATTGAGCTGGTCATACTATTGCACATGTCGTTCTACAACTTGCTTGCATCCTAAAGATGTCAAATATCGACATATTCCATTAATTAACATTTTTCTTTGTAGACCACGGTTTGTCGTACCGAGTTTACCAGAACAAGGTTTTGGTGAGATTATGCTCCTGTATGTATTCCCACTTAGAGACTCACATATGCGTTGCTTTTACCAAACAAGACGACTTTATCATCTACTTCCTCATTTGCATGAAGACTTGATGTGACTACTTCTGAAGTTATACATACTTAAGAAAAAAGTGTTGTATAGGAATGTAATTATGTAAATTAGAAGTTGGTTATAGGATCTAAAAGATCATTTTCTTGTAAGATTTGTATTACTTAGGAATCAAGTAATTATCTCCCTTAAACAGTACAAATAAAGGCACTAGACACAAGAGATAACGCACATATTTCGAGTGCTTTTTCTCTCTGTCGTCCCTCCCTACTCTCTCTACAATTATTTTATTACAATTTTTAATTTGAAATTAATTAGAAGGGCAAATTCTTCATTTAACGCAATTATTTTATAACAATTTGTAATTTGTTTGGTTTTTCTATCTAGTTACTACGGCCTTTTATATTTGAAATTAATTATAAGGGCAAATTCTTCATTTAACTACAATTATTTTATAACAATTTTTAATTTGTTTGGTTTTTCTATCTAGTTACCACGGCCTTTTATATTTGAAATTAATTATAAGGGCAAATTCTTCATTTATGAGTGATGTGAAAGTGGATTAAAATATGAAGGGATGTTAGTATAATTTCAAAAATTCGAGTGTTTTTTTATAAAACTATGATAAACCTCATGAGGTATTAGTAAAATTAATATTTTTAACACTATTAATATTTGTTAAAAAAACACTACTAGTAAAATTCCCAAGTTTTCTAAATGAGACAAAAAAATTGAAGAAAATCTACTTGCGCTACATGGTGCAATCTGACCTTTAGAAAACGGAGGAGGATTCTCTCCCCTCCTAATTTATCTCTCATTCTCTCCTCTCTTACTTGAACGGTTACCGTTAAACCACGTCAATATCTTATATTAATTTTTTAATAGAGACTAGCATTTACGTACACACTTTGTGTGTATGAATACATTTTTTTAGAAAATGAGAAGGAGAAAGGGAGAGAGAGAACGTGGGGGAGTGAGATGTTTTTGTTTTTGGTTTTTTTTTTAATTTTTTTTTAAATTTCAATATTAGAGATATTTTAACATCACCTGTAGGTGAGACTTCAATAAAAAATAATCAAATTTGGTCTTGTGAAATTACATTATTGCCCATCATTTTTTTTGGATGATAGAAAACAAAATTGTTTTTTCACCATCTTTTGGTTGACAAATAAGGTTTCATTAATTAGTAGAGATAATAAGATAAAAAATAAAGTGTGAAAGAATAGAAAGAAAGAGGACAAAAATAAGAAGTGAGAAAATCCTATTCTTTAACTAGATCTCATTGGTGCCACCTAAACGAAAAAAGAACATAAAAGAGGATGAGGTTAACCGTTTCTTAGGACTAGGATCCTCCCCGAAGGGCTAGGATCCTTTCCAGATCCAACCATGCGGAGCCTCCTGACCACGCAATCTTGATGGCTCATACAAACTAAAAATCAATTAAGATTTTTTTAATTTTTTCACAAACCGACCCATCAATATAGGATGAATTCCAAAATAATACGCAAACAGCATCAACACACCATAAAAACATGTTGGAAAATGATAGTGACTAGGGGAATGGACAAAAGATAATTCCCCCTCAAAATGTATGGTCATAGAGTAATCAACTAAACAATGCAGGAGGAAACAACTCATGTCAAATACGCACAGCGCGCAAGTTAACGCTCCATGCGCTACGTAAACGACATCCCCTCACAGATGAACAGAGTAACTTCGCGGGTCCACGCAGCCTCACTCAAAATCCAAAACGCTGCACTTCCATTTGACCACGCTGTCCACCGCGGACGCGGAAGCCCTGTTACCTTGTACCTCCCGGCGCACGTTACCCCTTCCCCACGGTTACCTTGTACCTTCTCTCTCTCTCTCTCTCTCTCTCTCTAAACCAGTTTCCACTACAAGAAAGCTTCTGCGAGAGAAGTCGGGAAGTTATCCTCTGCTTCGCTGCATTTGGTAATTCTACTTACTTATTTCCTTGTGAATTTTCCAGCTATTGCTTTTCCTTCCTTAGAAAATAGAATTTCTAGTCTTTTTTTAACCATTAATCTCTGTTTTAGTTCTGAATTTTGGTTTATTATTTCATTGTCTTTTCACTAATTTTTGTAAGGATTTTATCTGTGTAATTTGTTGTAAGATTTTAAGAAACCAAGAAAAAGTTAAACGTAAAATTCACTGGCCTGCTTTAAATTGCAAATTTTTCACACTAGAAGAAGAAATTTAAGATTACTAAGGAATTTTAAAATGACGAGATTTTCTTTTCTAGAATTCGTGAATTTTCTTGTTTGGTTAAGCTAAAAGAAAAATGGAATTGAATATGAAATTTGTTATTTTTAAACTCTCAATAATAGAAATTGGGAAATGACACCTATTTACATGGAATTTAAACTTAGGAATTGAAGGTCCCAAATTCCAAGTTTTTTTACGTGGAAATTTTAAATTTCTATGTTTATGAATTCAAACGAAGGAATTGGTGCATGTCAATTTATAAATTCTGACTTTTACCCAAATTCCAAGTTTATTTCTCTCATCCAAACATGGTGTAACTTTATAATCTGTATAATTCTGGGTTATTGTTTAGGATTTGAACATAAAGTGAGAAGTTGAATTTTGAGTTTCGCAGGTGTTGGTGTTCATATTTGCTAATGTGAGACTGAGCCCCATAATTTGAAGACATAGTATGATTAGGGTGAAAGGAGTAATCTGATTTTCGACGACATTATCTTATTTGTGCTCAAAGTTACACCTCTACTGGTTGAGAATCGGCCATGCCTCATGCGGCTGCTACGCGGTTTTTGCATGATTGGAGAAGCCACAGTAATCGTGGATGCCGTAATCCTGATGCTGTATGTGAGATTTCTTTGTAGTCTTCATTGCTTCGTGCTATCTTCGCGCTTAAGAGTTTACTTTTTTATGGAGTACTAATGGAGTTTTGTAATTTTTCTTTGATTAAAAGTGTCTTGTAGGAAAGGGTCGAGTACATATGGTTGGCATCAATCTTCCGTCGCATGGTTTGGTATGGTTTTCTCATTGGTGCAGTTATTTTTATCTTTTCAGTTGCTGTTCGGTGATTTGGCATGCATAATTATCATTAGAGTTCTGGTTTTCTTTTTTCCCTTCGTGGAACTGTGGTGTGCATGCTCGTGTGAAATTTACTCATCATTCATTGTTTCAAGGTTTTGTTGAGTGGATGATTGATTCTAGTGTAGTGCTTGCTTGGTCTGCGTGTGTGAGTTTAAGGGGTTTTTCCTGAATAGAGTTTGAGGCCACGGAAATTCATTTTCTTTTGTTACGTTTGATTGTCAGCGACAGGGTGCCTGCAGTCTCCATCTTTTAAGCAGTGTACGCGTCCCAATAGGTCCAGTTTCTTCCAGATGCAATGTTTTCTTGTGCAGATCTGTTTTAGGTCCAGGTGGACGAAATGGAGTTCCTGTTGTGAAATCTGCTACTCTTGTCTTAACAAGGTATGTGGACACGTTCCCAATTGAATTCTCAATCCCTTTTTTGTTTTGATTCGACAACTGCACACAACAGCGTACAAGGTTCTAAATTTTGGGTATTCCATTCTGTTTAATTGGAAGCAATGCCTCACCATGTTTTCTCTCGCATTAGTATGGAAATGTTTGGTGTCTAAAGAAATATACATGTTGACATATTATGCAGGTCCTATGATGCTTTACGTGGAAGCCCTGCTTTGCTTAAATTGATCCCAGCAGCGGCTATCATTGCTTTTGCTGTTTGGGGTATTGGGCCACTATTGCGTCTCGGCAGGGTTATTTTTCTTCGAGTATGTTATTCTTGCATCGCACCTTGCCTGTAGACATTGTTTGATTATGTTATTGAGCTGATTAATTCTTCCATGGTGAGTTTCTGCAGCGGAATGATAATACTTGGAAGAAAAGTAGGTCCCACTATGTCATGACTTCTTACCTTCGGCCCTTGCTTCTCTGGACTGGAGTGATACTTTTGTGCAGGTTCACTTCTACAGTAGAAGTAGTTAGTTTCAAATTACACTTCAGGGAACGAAAAATGATGTAACCTATTCGCTTGTTTTGTTTCCTGCCGCGATGTTCATTTCAGAGCATTGGATCCTGTAGTCCTACCTTCAGAAGCAAGCCAGGCTGTCAAGCAACGTCTTATAAATTTTACACAATCGTTATCAACAGTGCTGGCATTTGCCTATTGTTTGTCAAGGTGAGTACAGTTCTCTGCTCTTATTGTGTCTCAAAAATATTTATTTCATGATTCCATCGGTCAACTAATAGATTGGTCTCCGATGAATTGCATTTTGATATTTGTTTCTTCCAGAAGTAGTGAAGCAACTTCTTATATTAGTTAAAAGTAATTTGAACATTGAGAATGGCCAAAGGGCCTCGTTCAATAAGTTTAGTTCTTCTGCCACGATGTAGTAATTTCATTTGTTGGCATAGTTTTTTATTTTGCTGCTATGCTCTATACGCAGATGTGTCTGTGTGAGTGTTATTTTTATTTTTACCGCACTGGTCTTTTTCTTTTGTCCACACTGGTCCTGTAATCACTGTGCTCGTTGATTGTGATGGCTCTGGTTCTGCGGTTTAAAGTTTGATTTTCAACAGCGATACTTTTTGTTTACAGCTTAATTCAACAAGCACAAAAGTTCTTTACGGAGACAAATGACACAAGAAATGTATGTTTTCTTACTTTCTCAGTAGGCAACTCCTGTATTTACTTGTTTTAATGTTATGTTTTCATTAGGTCGTATGCATTCGTTTGCATTCATACTTTGTTTTGGCAAAAATTAACTTTCCTTTTCAATTTGCAGCACTGAAAGGAATGTCAATTAGTACCTTAGACATTCCTGAAACTAAATGGATTAATACAAAAGTCGTTCATCGGTAACCTTATAAATACATACAAGAAGTGTTTCTCTTTGGGAGCGCACCAATGTCTTTGTCAAATCCTATATCCTTGTATGTTTCGATTAGTTATTGTTTTCATTTTGTGCCTGTTAATATTTTCTTGTTTTGATGTTTGGACATATTTTGGTATATTAATATATAATTTCACTTATCTTGTCATATTTCAGCTGAAATGGTGGTGATGCTAACTCCTTGGTGTGCAGCTATTTTTATGAAGTGAGACGTCGTAATCATATTTTTCTTTTACAAAATTAGGCATGTCGTATCAAGTTTGTCATTGCTCATGTCCTTTGCTGTGCGATTGAATGTCATTGGTAGGAAAACTTCAAAATTATCCTCGCTGAGAGATTATGCGCATTAAACTTTACTGTGAGACATAAGTTTGGGTGTTATCTTGCTGTCTGTTATTTCATTTGTGTTCTCTTATTAACACATTGAGGACCCAGTGGTAATTGTTTCTCAGTGGATTTTGGGGGAGTCTCTAAGACTCTCAGTAGTGATTGGGTCATATGTTGGCCTTGGTTGGTGTTTCTGGCAGTTGATTCATGCTGTCATGTTTGTTTAGAACACTGTTTTAATTTTGGGAGCTAGGGTACGTATGATGGTGTAAGATTTTTCCGCTCTTCGTCTGTGGATCTGATTTGTCAATATCTGAATCAGTCTTGCAGTTTATTGTGTCATCTCAATATTACAAAACGATATCTATATGAATTTCTGATGATATATTCAGCTTTTGAGTTTTCTTACATGATCAACATAGTGTATATATGAATACAATATAAAGTCTTCTGTTCTGTAATGAAGAATGCTGTTTTCAATGTATGCTGTGGCTATTGTCAATTTGTGCAACTGTGCTTTTGCCAACCTCTGTGGCAAGTTATGGTATCCGAGTTTATATTTTCTCTCTTTATTTTATTTGAGTTTCAGTATTTATTCATCTTGTAAACTCGCTTTTCTATCAAGTCTTTAATGTTATAAACTTACTCTTTACAAGTGTAAAGATTACAAAATTAAAAAAAAATAATATATATCGCCATTTAATGATAGTGACGTATAATTAGTTCGAATTTGGGATCGTTTTGACTAATGTTTTAAAAGGCCTTTCCAGTAAGGTATATCTGTGAATAACATTTTGGTTTGTAGTGTCTCTCTTAGTACACTCCAATCTGTTTAATTCTGAAATTTTGTATTCTGTAATTTAAGTGTGAAAATAAGGTAAATAAATTGTATATCGATTAGTTATGATGTGGATGTATAATTTTTATGAGCTTCTTTCTGATTACCCAAAGCATTCTCTAAACATAAAAGAGTGGGGTTATTAAATTATACATAATTAATCACGAATTTTTATTTTGTAGAGCACATAATCTAATACTATCTGGATAAGAATTAGATAGATTTGTTTGAATCTGCATTAATTTAGTTGTGGAAACTTTTATTGTTAAATATCTTCTTTTGTTATATTATTTTGAATGGAGAATCCTCTTTTGTGTGTTTATATAATCTTTCTCTGTGCTGAGATATCATATGGTGGGATTGGTTGTGCACCACAAATTATCATTTACAACTAGAACTTGCTCAAATATCTCCTCGAGGCGAAAGTGCCGGGAGATTGACTCGATGAAGGCAACATATGGACGATAGTTTCCAAATTTCTACGATTCCGCCATTGTTAGTGTTCTGGGTGATTAGATCTGCTTTAGCTAAGCAACCTTACTCATTTGAGCAGATGTCTAATAAAGAAACCTTTCCTAACTTAACTCCGCTAGTTCATTCCACTGTAGATAGTGAACTAAAACATCTCATTTGATGAGAGATTCATCTCTTGTGTGTTTCTCTGTCTATTGCTTCCTTGCTCTTCGCATTGGAATATTGTTTCATCTTTCTATCATGTACGGCAACTCCGCGCTTGATATTCAGCTGTTCATGAGCACTTATTGTAAGTCAGCCGAATTGCGTACACCTATGGTTTTGGTTCAAAAAGGAAAATTCTAAAGAAAGGGAGGGCAGCCGCCAATAAAGTTGCAGTAGAAAGAAAGGTTAAAGGTTGGTTGTTTTTACTCGGAACAATCTAATAATATGGCGTGTAATCTGGAGGTCCCAGCAGTATCAAGGGCTCTTATGGTGAAGACTTTTATGCTGGTCATTATATTTTATTGTGATAGTTAATTGCACTTAATTTTATTACACAAAAAACTTAATAAAACAATATAAAAAATGACGTGTAAGAAAAGACCTTGTATGGGTTCTCGTGGTGAAACACATATGTTCTCTCTAATTTTCTCAATACTCACATAAGGGTCTTCTATACTAGAGGTGAACATAGCCAATAATAGAAGAATACATAAGCTCTTCATATATGAAGTTTTCCAAGTCGGATACTTCATACAAGTGTACCCATAATATGATAAAGGATAAAATTCTTGGTCATTTCTTAGTGGTCTCTAGCTTTTTTTCTTCTCTGTTCATTTCTTTTCGATTTTTTTACATTCAACTGATTATTGTTTTAACCTCTTAGTATAATAATGAGTGTCTTTAAATTCAAGTTATGTTTCATAAGCACGTACCTAAATTTGTGTGATAAGTCCTTGACATCGGTGTGGTTTGTGGGTGTTCGATCATGCTTTTTTGTTGAAAATACTAATTCACTACGTTTTTACGCTGAGGAGAGATAGATTATAATAGTCGACAGTGGATATGATGTAGAGGGTATTTTTATTTTTTTGGTGATTCAATGATTGAGGTGTAATTAGGAATTGACGACTGTTCGATTTCGCCAAACTATATTAACTGTGTGATGTTCCATTTTGGTAGAGTGAGTCTATCTGAATAACAAGTCGGATAAATATACAATGAATCGAATAGTTGAACAATGTGTGTAAAAATGCATTTTGAGTCTTATACTTTGGAAACTCAGGAGTTATGATTACAGTATACCGGGCTGAGATAATTGTTTGTGATAATATGTAATATACTTGGTTTATGGTCTATTGTCCTTGATAATTGTGTGCATGAGTGTTTCTCAATTCGTGAGGTGTCACTGTTTGGATTTTTGGCCTAAAAATTTCTTAATTTCTTATAGGTTGGATGTGATCAGTTGTTCTCTGTGATGACTTTGAGGCAGATTGGATCTTTTAAATCTTTATTGAAGAATTGGGTGTTATTTGTTGTCGCTGTGACCGGTTCAGCTCTTGTAATTTATGTTTCTGTGTTTGCTTCCAGAGATAGACTTAAATTGCAAGAAATGTTATAATAGATTTGCGAGGGTGAGAATGGTCAATTGAACTAGAGTTGCGAGTATCTTCATTTCTTAATGCAAGTTATATCAAGTTCCATTTCCAACCAACGGTTTCACATCGCTTGCCACACCTATCCTAAGTTTTGTAAGGAATTGGTCTAAAAAGAGCCTTATTCTTTCCTTTTCTTCTGCGTTCCGAGCCCAATCCATGAAATTGACATTATCAGCGATGGAGGCAGTTCTTGTACATTGCGGAGATTCATGTGGCCATCTTTTCCGGAGGAGTTTTGAGGTCAACGCGCTGCCGTTTCACATGGTTTTAGAGAAGGCATAAGCTAAGAGGCTCGCACTAATGTAGATCATGATCCAAATTTCGTAATACTTCCAGTGGCAGTCCAACTCTCCAGTGGATTCCCGAATCCTTACCAAGATCAGTAAATGCACAGAATACCGCTAGCGCACAGTGCTCCAAGTCTTACACAACGCACTAAGCACTAACGCAAGAACACGGACGGCCCTCTCTAGATGGGCTGCCTCACACTCTCGCGGTAGTCCCCAATCAGATGGAATCCAAATAACTGAGAATAAGGCTAGAGGGTCCTTCGCAGATCACTTCTTCGGCCTAGTCCGTACTGCAAATGACGACAAGGCTGTAGCTGTTCCGATCTAAATGAATTTCTCTATCTTAAGGCACATAAACTGTCTACTCTAGGCTCCAGTGAAAGTCGCAATACCCTGATTCTTGCATATGCCCCCGCCAACAGGCACATTTGGCCGGCAATCCTGCCAATAGGTTTTGTCTCCAGTTCCAGAGAATAACTCTCTGAGCTGGTCTAGGTCTCCAAGAACGCGTGTTATATAACACACTTGCAGGAAGGAACAACAGGACGCATTTTATAGCAAGCCGAGCGCGATATATTCCACAAAGCGGTGATCGCTTACTGAGTGCTCTTCCTTTCAGAAAGGCTTAAGTGTAGACACGACAGAATGGTTCAGACGAGAGAAAAAAAGCAATATTCTTTGAACAAGTTTATCGCAGCAGGAGCGAATGACAGCAAAGGATGGCGAAGAATTGTCGCAAGCATTTAACCAACTCATGGTAGTTTACTGTCTCCGTTGAGAAAATAGACATATTATCTCTGGTCAGAGTTGCTTGCACTACTTTTTGCGGGTGAGCGGGTTGCAAGGAGCGAGAACGCATTTCACAATTGAGGAAGATACAGACACATTTCGTATACTCCCCCTGCGCGGAATTACGGAAATCGGAGTTCAGATAAAATAGATTATACCGTAATAAGGATTTTCTCTAGTGAGCTCTAATTCGGTGGCACGCCATAGAAAGCAATTCTGGCCGCTTTGCAAAATTGCGCTATGAAATGGTGTCAAAGAGCGCCCACGGCAGAGGGTAAATATAGACAAGACGAGAAGTGTAGAATCATACTTGTACTTCTATTTTTCTCGATTAGTGAACGTATTATTATGATTTTCACGTATATCCTCAAAAATATAGTTGTAGATCAGTCGAGTACTGTAGAAGATCATTTTGGAGGGTGGACATTGATACGGTGTCCGAGGAGAAACTGGTCGTTTCTCTCCGTCACATTATATCGTGCCAAGAGTAATGAGTGAATAGTGCCTCCAAATGTACATATACGCCAAAAGAGTAA